GGGGGGTAGACTCGTTTAAAATAATGTAATCATCTGGTTTTAGCCAGGTTTCTGTAAAACAGAGCATATCTAGGTTATAATTAGTGATCATATCATTTACAAAAAGCGTTTTCGTAGAAAGGGACCTGCTATTCAATAAGCCAAGCTTTATAATTAGTTTCTCAGTATTATATCAATTTTTTATTTGTTGAACATCAATTAAATTGTTAATCTTTAATGGTTTAGACATTTTTTGTATTTTCTAGTTCGGGGAACAGACACAGTCTCTACTGTATAGTGTGATAGCTAGGTGAAATAGTCTCTATGTGCTGAGAATTAACTGTGAGACTTCTGTGACGTGAGGCGGCTAGCAGACGGTCGGTTTAGTCAGTCTGTCTGCTTCCTGACCTGGGCCCCATTTAGTCAAATACAAACTCTAAGACTATGTGCCATATGTGCAGTCGTGGCCTAATGGTTAGAGAGTTGGACTTGTAATCTGAAGGTTGTGGGTTTGAGTCTCAGGTCCGGCAGGGATTGTCATGGGGGGAGTGAATGTACAGCACTCTCTTCCACCTTCAATACCACGACTGAGGTGAGACCCTTGAGCAAGGCATTGAACCCCCAACTGCTCACCGGGTGCTGCAGCACTGGCTGCCCACTGCTCCGGGTGTGTGTTCACAGCTATGTGTGTGCACTTGGATGGGTTAAATGCAGAGCACAAATTCTGAGTATGGGTCACCATACTTGGCCACATGTCACTTCACTTTCACTTTATTTCTAAAGAGAAGAGCGGCAGCACCCCTGGAGGGATGAAGACCATCTCTTTTCAACAGGTCAGGTCTGCCCCAAAAACTCGTCCAATTGTCTATGAAACTTATGTTATTCTGCGGGCACCACTTAGACATCCAGCCATTGAGTGACGACAGTCTGCTATGTATCTCATCACCACGGTAAGCAGGGAGGGGACCAGAGCATATTACATTGTCTTACATCATACCTGCAAGTTCACACACCTCTTTAATATTATTTTTAGTGATCTCCGACTGGTGAAGTCGAAAATCATTAGTGCCAACATTAATAACAATCTTAGTGAATTTACGTTTAGCATTAGCCAGCACTTTTAAATTTGCCAAGATGTCAGGTGCTCTGGTTCCCGGTAAATACTATATATACATACAAACATATATATAAACTGTATGTGAACAAATTAAAACTACTCTTTTCATTTTTTTCATTCGATTTTAATTCTGCTTCAAATTCCAATTTGGCATACAGTTTTGTTTGATAACTCAGGAAGTGAATTGCAATACATTCATTTATTTCTGAATGGCACACAACCCTGAAGGACACAAGACAAGTTTTCTTGTTTATAGCCTGGAGCTCTGCAGTGTTACAAGGAAAGGAATGAGAGTGTATTGAGAGTGTAGTCTTGAAGTGTAAGGATTTGGAAATAGTTCAGTTATATAAGGAGAAAATCTCATCAGGACAATAATTTTAGACAAGAGACAATTATAAGTCATTTAGGTTGATTTCTTTGAAATGTGTAAATAACCCTGCCAAAAAAAAAATCATAATATAGGAAACTTGAAACGTTGAAGCCACTCAGAAGAACAGAGTATGTTTAAGTTGCATACAAGAATGAAAAGTTGAGGTTTATGATAACAGAGATAGCCTACTGTATATAGTATGAGAATCCTCAGGTCTGAGAAAAGTTACATAATGAGGTTGCACATAAAGGGCAACATCATTATGTAAAGATCTTCACTCTACAGGTCACTGCTGTATGCTACACTACACTATACCTACAGGCCATGAGTCTGCATCAGTTTTTTTTTTCTTGGGTCTAGTACATACTAACATAATGGCATGTTCTAGTTGACTTTGCGCTGTTGGAATGTGTCCCTTAAAGCATTTCCTTCACTTTATTGCCTATTGCTTTTAAAATATAACCTATTTCTTATCAGTCAAGCTATCTGAGTTAATGTGTGAGTGTTTATGTAACAGGAAACAAACCCCACTAAGCATTCGTTACCTTCTGATGTAGCCACAGAAGCCTCACCTTGGAACTTACTGGAAGGAAAAGACTATTGTTTCGGATTGCTATACAACAGTATATTACAGTATTTAAGAATGTTTTGTGATATTTTTAGGGTGTCAATAGGATAAAAATTATTTAATTTTTAAATCATTAAAGCAAAAAATCCCATTGATTTTGAAATGAGAACTGATGTGTTAGATAAGCTATTATCTAACATTAAATGAATAATCCATAAAAGCATAAAGTTTTTCTTTAATTATTGAGAAATAAGATTTTGTTAATAATTACAAACCAACGTTTGGTGCCAAAGCTAGACCGAGGAGGTCTATAATACATGAAGAAAGCTGTAAGCAGTCCATTCATCTCAGTGGCAGTTTCTCTGCCAGTTTCTCTGTGTAAGATGTGTGTGATGTAAAACGTATGTGATCTTGGCCTCAGTTCTGGACACACTTGTTTATGAGCCATGCCACCTAAGGCATAAAGGTGAGTATGACTAATCAATGAACAGGAAATTATGTCATAGCGATTCTGACTGGCTAATGGCACCATGAGAATACAAAGTCCCAAGCCTTTTAACTGCAACTGTCATGAGTAATGCCATCAAAGGCTGCAGACAAAAAAATATATATTTTGTCAGAATACACTTTCAGTGAATTATTTTAAATGGCACTGGTGAAAATCATCCACAGAAGGTGTAGTTATAGCTTTGGCCTTCACCAGTAGGGGCTAAAAGGGGCGCGCGAGTCCGCCAGAGGGGGCGGAGCCGACTGCTATATAAGTTGGCCCGGAGCGCCATTTCATCAGAATCAACTAAAGCGACAGCCATCGAGTCGAGTGCAACTATAGCACGGCCAGTTACGCAACTCTCGTTGCCTTATCTCAGGGAACCGAGGTTATGTGAGTAACCGGAGCATTCCCTATCGAAAGGTAACTCCCGTTGCGTCGTCATTGACAACTGGTTGGGGAACGTATCCAGTAGTGCCGTGCTATAAGCAGACGCAGAACTTAGCCTGCTCCGCGAGCTCAGCCCAGGAACACTCAGCGAGGGCTCCATAAGCCTGAGCCACAAAGAGACCTGGGAATGTTCTGAGGTCTGCTTGAGATAACAGACAAGCAGACAGTGCTTGCAAGTCCCCTACTCGCTTGACTGACGCCAGGGCCAAAAGCCGGCTGTTTGAAGTGGCTCAAAGGAGGAGCTCTTGAGAGCTCTCAGGACTATAGACAAGTCCCATACTGGCACCGGCTTAGGGCGGGGAGGGTTCAACCGCGAGCGTCTCTAAGAAACTTAACGACTAAGTCGTTTCTGCCAATTGTCTGGCCAGCCTCGAGAGAGTGATTCGCCGCGTTGGCTGCCACATAGACTTTGAACGTGGAAGGGGTGCGCCCCTTATCCAGCAGCTCTTGCAAAAAGGTTAGCACGTGGGACACATCACATGATATCGGGTGTCTTGTAGATGGAGCTCTAGCCTCTAAAATGGAATTAGTGACTTTTGCTGGGAGTTCGCTAGACTCCCGTCGAGTGGCCAGCTGGATCATCTCCGGAAACCAGACTTGTTTTCTCCAGAGAGGGGCCACGAGGAGGAGAGAGCACTTTATGTCCCTGACTCGCCTGATAACCTGGGGTAGCAGGGCGATCGGAGGGAAGGCGTACAGATGGGTGTTGGGCCAATATTGGGCAGTGATATTTGTCTTCGGAGGCAAAGAGGTCGACATCTGCCCTGCCGAAAACTGACCAGATCATCTGAACCATCTGGGGATGTAGCCTACATTCCACTACCAATCATCGAGGTAGTTCAATATGCGGATTCCCATCTGTCTTAGAGGGGAAAGAGCCACATCTATGCTCTTTGTGAAAGTGTGGGGGGCCAGGGACAGACCAAACGGTAGGACCGTATACTGATAGGCCACTCCCTCGAAGGCGAATCTCAAGAACAATCTGTGACGGTGCGCTATTTGGATGTGAAAGTAAGCGTCTTTCAGATCCACAGACAGGAACCAGTCCTCGGGGCGAATTTGCATGAGGATCTGCTTCAAAGTCAACATTCTGAACGGCCGTCGCATGAGGGCCCGATTCAGACATCTGAGATCAAGAATCGGTCTGAGCCCGCTGTCTTTTTTGGGAATGAGGAAGTATTGGCTGTAGAAGCCTGACACGCTGTTCGCTAAGGGAACCATTTCCACGGCACCCTTTGCAAGCAGTGTTTGCTCTTCGGCTCGAAGAACATGAGATTCGTTGTCGTGACGAATTCGTGACGGTTTTATTTTTTTAGCCTTTAACCAATAGGAGTGATTAATTTAATAATAATTTTATATAATAATAATAATTTTCTTTTTATTAATGCTTATTGCTAGAATCTAGTGAATTCACACAAATCAAGGTTTTGAACTTTAACCAGACATGTCCCAAATTGTGTAAAGGTTAAAATAAAAGCACATATGCAATGTTTAGTTTTACCTCCTGAGAATAATTTCCCCAATGTTAAGGCCTTTCTTTCAATGAAGGAACAGAAAAGTAGCCTTTTTAGACATTTTTAACTTTCAAATTGTGTACCTTATTTGTAAAAATTTGTCAAAGCTGTGTGTAGCGTGAAACTCTGAAAATCTTATTTTCTTAGGCTACATTTGTATTTAGCACATGCTTTAATTTTGTCATTGTCAAGGAAAAAAGTATTCACAAAAACAGATCTCACAAATGTTTACATTAAGGTAGATATTTAATGTATTGGTCAGAGTTTCCATTACTCTCTAGGTTTATCTAGCATCCAATTATAAAAAGCCTAATGTGTGACGTACAGACAGAAGGTTGGGTGGTTTACGCCCTAAAGGGTTAATGACGTCGGTTGGCGATGAATATTTATTTTTAAGCCACGCCCACACGGCGTTGCTCATTGGCTCATTGGCTGCGAGTTCGTGTGGAAGGCGGGGCCTTTCCTATAATCTAGGAGTGGGCGTGGTTTTGTCATTCGACGGTTTTTGAGGATACGGGAAATCCAGATTACACAGTGAAGCCGGAGATACAGCATACATCGCCGGCCTGCCATGACGCAAAACTCCGCTAGTAAGCTTCTAAACGGAGATGCCTTACACCGGACGAAACAAGACAAGAAAGCGGGCGGGAATGGGTTCGTGAAGAACCGCTGCTTGTTCCAGCAGAAGCGATACCGCCGCCCGGCGGAGAAGGTGAGGCCGCCTCCTGCGCTACACACAACACCGGAAACACGCTCAGTGTACACAGCGGAGCCGCTTATGCTGTTACTTTGAGTTAAATTAGAATAGAAATATTTCTGTTTCATTCTGGGTTTATATGGCGTTTAGGATTTAGGAAAGGAGCGTTTATCTGGTTTGTATTCGTGTGTAGGGAGGGGGTGGTTGGGTGTGTATCGTTTCAGTTTTCTGTGAAGTTTTCATGTGTTCAATCATGTAACCGTTATATATAGCATATTCCACGTATATTTTAAATGTACGAAATGCTATTTGATGTCATTCAGTTACTTTTAAAAGTTAATTTAAATAATTACATTATTTATTAAAAATGCCCCTTGACTTTTTTTTTTTACAGTTAAACCTCAGTTTATTTATTTTATTTATCTCAGCAGCAATCAAATTATCATGGTAAAAATAAGAATGATATGATGATATTGCAATTTTAGTTCATCAGATTATGATTCACAGAATGATGCTAATTGAAGATGCAGCATTTAACACCACTGCTGGAGAAAACATTTGTCTAATTGGATTTTTGACTCAACCCTTATAGTTATTAAATGAAATATAGCCCTTGTGGCAACAAGCCCGTGGCCTCCTCATTAAAGTGCCTGATATTCATTCAGAAATTAAGAACAGAATATTGTTAATTTTTAAGCAAATTGGTTAAGTGTCATCCTTCTGCTAGAAGAAACCGTCCCAGACCTGCAAACTGAAGTTAGTGTTTGTTCTCTATGGGTGTTGTGCACATATGGTGAACTGCTGTTTCATGTCATAGGGAAGTCGTGGGGGGAAGTCGTGGCCTAATGGTTAGAGAGTCGGACTCGTAATATTTTCACATTCAAATGTAAATAACTGCTGATCTGTTAAACATTATTTAATATTTGTTCATGACTTAATGAAAGTTGAGGTTATTACATAATGCCCACTTTCAATGCTCAACAATGAAAAGCATCAGCAGCCCATTGCATTGAGATGAATGGTTATGGGATCAAATGAATTGTTTGGGGTTAGTGTTTGGTTGTCTCCGTTTGTATTGACACAAGCATGGAAAATAACAGTGTAGTGTTCTGTCATGTAACTGGAGAGCAATGCTTTGTTCTTTGCAACCTGAGGATGTTTGCCCAGTGCACTTCTGCGCTCCATGGGAGAAACCGCTTTTCCAAGAATGAGTGTGTTATCAAGCTAGTTTTTCTTGTACTAGGTCCTTATCATCAAAATGGACCTATGGGTCAGGTGTGCAGTATTGTTTTTTTTGTTTTTTTTAAGCTTACAGTAAACGTAACAGGCGAGGCATGCAAAGTAGGTCTTGCCAGTATGTTGATTATTGATATAATTTATGTTAAAAGTTAATAAGATTCTTTTCCGTGAATCGGGTCAAATTATCTGTGATCAGTGATGATCAGTGAATTGATTCAAAACTGATTTTGAGTGACTTGTGTCTAATAATAGCTCAAAAATTGGATTTTTAATTTATTCAAATGTTTTAGTGTATATGTAAATATAATTACCATATACCATATAATTACCTTATTTATTTATTTAGGCTGTACGCATTTTTTTTTTTAAATATGGCCAATGTTAGAAGTGGCCCAAATCAGAATTGAAATGATCAGATTCCTTGTAGTTTGTAATGTTATGAAGAAAATGACTCATTTCTCAAGCCATTTCAGGAAAAAGTATATAAATATATGTATAATGAATATCATTAAAATATCTCATCCAGCCCTACTGTAAGTAATTTCAGTAGTTTGAGTTAACGTTTACAAACCTTATTAAAAGAAGATTTGTCTGCCTTGTTTCAGGAAGCAACTTTTACTGACTGACTTTAGAAACTGAACAAATACAAGACTTTCCTGTATTTAGCAATGCAAGTTTTCCCACAAAGGCTTTCTCACTCAGCACTGACACAAACTGTTAACCCTGACTTAACTGAGCTTTACATAAGAAGGCTGATTCAGGGATCTGGAACAGTGGGATCAGGCCATTCCTTACAGGAAGGGCAGCTTTTAGAGTGGATGCAGTTAAGAGAAACACGAGTTTGATCACGTGCTGAAGTGTGAGTGTAAGGACAAACTCTGGTTAATTTTCTTGGCCGGAGTGATAAATGGAATTTTGCTCTTCTGATCATCTCTGGTATCTGTAACCTCATGTTTGAAGCTGTTAGCAGTTTCAGTCCCAACTATAGTTGTACAGTTTCCATAGAGAATGTGAGTATGGGTGACTACCAGTGTAATTGTTATGAAATTAATAAAATGTTCAGGGCGTTGTTAGATAGTTGCTTTCTAGCCCAACTTAAAAGAGCCCATTACCTAAATTTCAGCATTATTCTGGTATCTATGTGTATTCTTTCTGTGCTCCATCATGAAATGATTTGTCTTTAATCTAGTGTGGACAAACTAAATCTACTATAATCTGGTTTTTATCAGACTAGCTGTACATTAATGTTGTTTTATGCTGTTGATGTTTACTTTGGTGCATTTTGTAGTGTTTCGATATTCATTTTTCAATGTCGATTCACTTCATATTCATCTTTTCCCCAACAGAACCATCATGCTTCATGCACTTTGCTTTATAAAAAGACATTTGTGGAGTCGTTTGAGGAGACGCCGCTGCTGGTTGCCGTCCTCACCTACATGGGCTACGGCATCCTTACCATTTTTGGCTATCTGCGAGATTTCCTGAGGGACTGGAAGTTTGAGAAGTGTCATCTGGCCAGAGAGAGAGAAGAACAGAAGGTATGGTATATAATATATTTGTGGTGCTTGCCTTGCTTTTTTTTTATTTCATGCTTCCCTGAGAAATGTTTCACATAACAGATGTTTGCATGTAATCCTCAAGACAAAATAATAACTGAATTTACACTAAAGACCTTGTTTAAATACAATTTTTAAAACTTTGCATTGTCACCTGAATGGTCAAAGCCTATTTAGTGCTGTTTTGTAATACTTGTGCATAAGTCCCTTATTTGTCATGAGCAGTTAAACTGATTGCTGATCTTCAGTTTTAAAGCATCTTTACAGTAATAAACAGGAAAATAACAGAATCAATGATGCAAACTTAATCAGATATGAGACAAATTCAAATTCTGCTGCAAACCATCTCTAAAAAGACAAATGTTGTTATTCAGTTCCAGTCATGTTGCAAAATGCATCAATTATGAGTCAAAAGTCACACAATTCAAAGTCAATTTAAGCCAAGTTAAAGCAGTTCTTCAGAAGATGATAGCACTATCTATCATCCAGCTTAAAGGGGTCATATGATGTTGCTAAAAAGAACATTATTTTGTGTATTTGGTGTAATGAAATTTGTTTATGCGGTTTAAGGTTAAAAAAAACACATTATTTTCCACATACTGTACATTATTGTTTCTCCTCTATGCCCCGCCTTTCTGAAACGCGTCGATTTTTACAAAGCTCATCGGTCTGAAAAGCGAGGTGTGCTGTGATTGGCCAGCTATCCAGTGCGTTGTGATTGGCCGAATACCTCAAGCGTGTGACGGAAATGTTACGCCCCTTAACATATACTGTGATGCCCTGTCCAGCTGGAGCGATGAGACAAAAACATTAAAACCCATTATAAACGAGGCATTTGTTGCATCCAGTGCGGGACATAATTACGGATTATAATGACTTACACTGTCTTTTTACGCGGTGCGTTGCATCGCATCGCATCGCATCACAACGTGTAATGATAAAACCATGTCTGCATTTGTGATCGGAGAAATTACAAACTACAAACGCTACTCTACACTGCTCAAAACTCGCGTTTGAATCATCAGTGGCAAATTCTTTAAATATAAAAAACGTACTTACAGTCTGTGAGTCAGAACAGCCGGCATTGTAGTCAACTCTACCAGGTGTTTCTACCAAAGTAGTTTTGCTTTCACAACGAAACACACAGCGCCTTCACGACATGGCAGCGGCGGCAACAATACTACAGCGAGAATAAAAGTTACGCCTTCTTTCTTTGCGTGAACATTTGGGCGGCATTATGCAAATCTTCCCACATCGTGACATAGACATGTAAAATGTAGTGTTATGTTTTCATTTTCGATGCTCTGTTCCCAGGATTTTGTTCCACTGTACCAGGACTTTGAGAACTTCTACACCAGGAATCTATACATGAGGATCAGAGACAACTGGAACAGGCCCATATGCAGCGTCCCTGGAGCCAAGATGGACCTCGTGGAGCGGGTCACACCTGACTACAACTGGACCTTTGAGTGAGCGTCACATTGTGCCGACACACCAGGATGTTGGATCCAGCCTACCAGATCCCACCAGAACATGTCTGTTTTGACTGAAGTTGCATCTTTCTCAGTGCTCAGAAAAGCACAAATTAAAAAGTGTTATCATACCAAAGCATAAGCAATGGAAAATTGCTGCCTCACAACAACAACAACAAAAAAACCTTAAGATGGAGACATTTGCTTATTACTTAGGCAACACAGCAACCAACATAAGATTAAACAGTTTTTTAAATTATAATGATAACATTTTATTTTTTAAATTATAATATAGCTGCTTAAAACAGAAACAGAAAGTGATTTTAGATTGTAAAATCTCAATTTTTTTGTTTTTACTCTATATTTGATTAAATAAATGCAGCCTTTGTGCAAATAAGAGACTTCTTAAAAAAACCTTTAAAAAAATTAGTACTTTTGACCAGTAGTGTATATGTGGAAAGTAATATGACAGAGATAACGACAAAAAGGCAGGAATCAAGTACTGCACAGATATATGTTACCACACACGCACACACATTTCTGTTAAGAATCTTTAGATCCTTCATAAGTCTAAAGGCTTTACAGAAGTTAATATGGTGTGAGTTTTAGTATATATATTTAGTGTATATTTCCTTTTAAAAGTAGTGTGTGTCATTTTTATTAGTATTATTATTTTATATACATTTAATTTATTCCATGTTTTTTCTTTATATTTTCCTGCAGACACACAGGGAATGTTCTGAAAGATGTTATTAATATGGGCTCATATAACTACCTTGGCTTTGCTGAGAATACCGGCACATGCGCTGATGCTGCCTCTGAGTGCACTGTGAAATACGGCGTGGGGGTGAGCAGCACCAGGCAAGAGATAGGTAATAAACACTCGCTCTCTCAGGCTTTACAGCCACGTCTCTGGGATAAAAGGGGCAAAATAATGATATGACACTTTTTGGGTAGGTTTTAGTAGATTTTTAAGGGGTCATATACTTGGTCCTCTTATAATATTAATCAATTTTGACCTTGTCATTATGATTTTCCACCCTCTCACTGACATTTAGAATACTTATTCATATATTCAGTTCTTGGTGAGTCATTCATCCCACTGGGTGAGGATTTGCTTTTATGGTGGAAAATAAATGTGCGGCACTATGAAAAACTCTTAGTTCTTATCTAACCTTTATCATTGTGTCCCTGGAGTCTGATGTTTACACAAAAAGAAGGAAACAGTTCTATTATTATACAAATCTATTGTTGAATCATTAAGATATTTGTTCTCTCTTGCAGGAAATCTTGACAAGCATAAGGAGCTAGAGAAGCTGGTGGCCAGGTTTTTAGGGGTTGAGTCATCCATGGCCTTTGGAATGGGCTTTGCTACAAACTCCATGAATATTCCTGCACTCACAGGAAAAGTAAGGGTTTTACTATAAACACAAACATTAAGTCAAATGGAATGCTAAGAACTTTTACGTCAAAGCCAGGTAGGGTGGGGAAAAACATTGGGGATCGGGAGTTATGTTTTTTTTTTTGTTTGTTTGTTTTTTATAATTGAAATACTCCCAATGATCATATCTGTTCCCGCACAGATTTCTTTGGCTCACACAGGAAATTGATCATAACTGAGTCATGTAACATGTTATTGGAAGCCTTTATGCTTTGTTCACACTGGGACGAATATCGCGTGCGATTATCGCCGACGTTTAACGCCTCGTGACTAAACAAAGGGCGCCAATGTGAGCGTGCAAAATGCGAGGCGTAAAAGCGTCATTTTTTAAAAACCGCCTGGGGCTCGTTTTTTTGGTTTGACGCGCCGCGTTAAAAACTGGCCGACCAATGAGATTGGAGCTTTTGTTCACGTGCCTGGAGCTGCTGAAGTTACAGTAAAACACCCTGCTTTCATTCACAACATGTTTGAGTACTTTTGGGGAATTCCAATTTGCCCCTAAAATTAAATATCGTTTTCATACCTGCAAATACTGGTTAAATCGGGGCAAGAGATGCTTTAATGGTCTTCAGTCCACACTGATATTGAATCTGTGATAGAAATAAAGTAGGATTTTGAAAAATGTAAAGCATAGAAACTTTATGTATGTAAAATTTAAAAAAAAGAATATTCTGCTTTGTACCTGGATTAGGCAAATAAGCGGTTTCTAAATGTAAATGTAAGGGAATATAAATAAAAATTTGAAAGGGCTTGATTTGAAAGGGCTTCCTTTGAAAACAGTTTAAAATTCCTTTTAAATTCCTTGTTAGAAACCCTTTTTCCTTTGAAATTCCTTGTTAGAAACCCAAATACATTAACACATGGTCATGAGAAAGTACAAATACCATTAGTTCTAAACACCATAATAAGTAATGATGATTAAATATGTAAAACCTTGTTCTGTTATTGATTGTGTCCTACAACTCTCCTTACGTTTGAAATGTTGCTTTGTATCTTACCAACTCTTTAGCCAACAGGGTTAGTATTATTTCATATGCTTTTTTGCTTTTCATTAAATTAAGGTATGTGTGTATTTCTCTTAGGGCGGTCTGATCTTAAGTGATGAGCTCAATCATGTATCTCTGGTTCTGGGTGCCCGTCTCTCTGGCTCTACCATCCGTGTATTCAAACACAACAGTAAGTTCATGTTATTTTTAGCCCACACTGAAAATAAAAATGCTGTGCAAAACAATCACAACCAGTTAATATTTGATGTTTAATATATCGGATTAAGGACCCAAATGAGTTCACAATGGGTGGCTTAGACATAGAAACTCCATCATTACGGAACGCATTTGTTTGCAGAATAAATTAATATTGTGTGATTAATGTACCTGAATAGGCTTTTGGCCGCAAAAAAAAATCTAATATAAGTGAACCTCAGACAAAAACATGCAATAAATAAATCTTATGCCATACTTTTTATAACCTTCTCGCTAAGAACAGCATCCATTCATATCAATATATGAAGGGTTCATTTGCAAAAACCGATAACTCCATTTTTATTTTTATTTTCAGAAATCACGTTTTTTTTTTTTTGCGCATTCCAAGTAATATCAATCAACCTGCATTTAGGTTGTTTTGATTAAGTAATAATAACCTAAACAAATACAGGTAATTTACCAAATTAAAGTTCATTGAAAGTAGGGGTGCTCCGATTGATCGGCTATCGATCACTATCGGCCGATAATCACGTTGGGATGATTGATCGGCGGTCTCTAAAAAGGCCGATCTCAAAAAACCGATCTCAAGCTGATGATGCTGCCGTGAGAGGTTTGGCACGACATGCAGCAGCACCGTCTCAGTCTCTGTCTGGCGCGGGTGAAATAATTATAATGCTGAAGGTGAGGTACAATTCATATTTCTTCATTAAATAACTTATAAAGTAAATTAAAAACCTTGTGTGAGACGTAATTTCACAAACGGCGTGAGTGAATCACCGTGCGCGCTCTCTCTTCCTCTCTCAAAATACGCAAATTGCTTCAAATCACCACATCGAATCTGTCTATAAGTGAGCTGCACGCTGCACAGTTGACACAGGAATTGTCACTTGCACAATCGAG